TCTCCGGCAGGGGCGCTATCTCTGCCAGGGGAACGTGCTGGTGAGTGACATGGTGACCAGCGGGTACAAGCTGTCGGGCACCTGCCGGAGCAAACCCCGAGGTGAGCAGAGCCCCCCCCCACCGCTCCCCTCCCCCACATCACCCCCCCCCCACCCCACCCCCATTCACCTTCCCGCCTCGGCCCCAGGGAAATGCGGCCATGGGGGGCGGAACGACGTGACCCAGAACTTCTCCCCGACCGGCGGCATCAACAAAGAGACCTCGGACCCCCAGCTCTCGCCCCACCACCACCTGCACCGCCAGGCCGCGGAGCTAGCCACCCGGGCCACCCGGGACTTCTTCGTGGGACCAGGTGAGAGCCCCTCGGCCGGCCGGCGCCCCTCACTCCTGACCCACAGCCCCCCGCAGCCGGCCACCGCCCCTCACTCCCGACCCACAGCCCCCTCCTCTGCCGGCGCCCCTCACTCCCGACCCGCAACCCCCTCGGCCGGCCGGTGCCCCTCACTCCTGACCCGCAACCCCCTCCTCTGCCGGCGCCCCTCACTCCCGACCCGCAACCCCCTCGGCCGGCCGGTGCCCCTCACTCCTGACCCGCAACCCCCTCCTCTGCCACCGCCCCTCACTCCCGACCCACAGCCCCCTTGGCCGGCCAGCACCCCTCACTCCCGACCCGCAGCCCCCCTCAGCCAGTCACCGCCCCTCACTCCCAACCCACAGCCCCCCTCAGCCAGCACCCTTCACTCCCGACCCGCAGCCCCCTCGGCCGGCCGGTGCCCCTCACTCCCGCCCCGCAGCCCCCGCCCCACTGAGGCGTGTTGGGTCCCGCAGGTTCGGGGCTCCTGGCCCAGGTGGGCTCGGCCGCCTTCCGGAAGCTCTTCAACCTGGCCGGCTACTCGCTGACCTTCGCCATCGACACGACGGGCAGCATGAGCTCCGACATCGCCCAGGTCCAGCGCGTCTGCCTGGAACTCATCCGCCAGCACGTGGGCTCTGCCGACGCGCCCCACAACTACGTGCTGGTGCCGTTCAATGACCCAGGTAGGGCCCCGATCCCCCTGCGCCCCGATCCCCTGGTATGGCCCCAATCCCCCTGTGCCCTGATCCCCCTGCGCCCCGATCCCCCAGTATGTCCCCGATCCCCCTGTGCCCCGATCCCCTGGTACAGCCCCGATCCCCCTGCGCCCCGATCCCCCGGTATGTCCCCGATCCCCCTGTGCCCCGATCCCCCTGCGCCCCGATCCCCTGGTACGGCCCCGATCCCCCTGCGCCCCGATCCCCCTGCGCCCCGATCCCCTGGTACGGCCCCGATCCCCCTGCGCCCCGATCCCCCCTGTGCCCCAATCCCGCCGCCCCACAGCTATGTGCTGGTGCCCTTCAGCGACCTGGGTATAGCCCCAAATGCCCGACCCCCTGAACTCCGATCCCCCCGCACCCGGATTCCCCTGCACCCCGATCCCCCAGTATGGCCCCGATCCACCGATCCCTCTGATCCACCGATCCCCCCGCGCCCCACTGCTACGTGCTGGTGCCCTTCAGTGACCCGGGTACGGCTCCGAACACCCGGTGCCCCTGCGCCCTCCTCCCCCTGCGCCTGCCCCCCACTCACCTCCCCTCTCCCCGCAGATGTGGGACCCGTCTACACCACCCAGGACGTGGGGCAGTTCGAGGCGGCCATCGCGCGGCTGGTGGTGAATGGTGGTGGGGACTGTCCCGAGCTGGCGCTGACCGGCCTGGAGATGGCGCTGCGGGCGAGCGAGCCCCGGTGAGCCTCCCACTGCCCCCCGAGCCCCTCAACCTCCCACTGCCCCCCATTGCCCCCCGAGTCCCCTGCTGCCCCGACCTCCCACTGCCCCCACTGCCTCCGACATCCCCAACCCCCCAAGCCCCCCACTAACCCTGAATCCCACCGAAGTCCACCCACACCCCCAAACCCCCCACTGCCCCAAGCCTCCCAAATCCCATCCCCAACTTCCCCCCAGGTTGGAGCCCCGGAGCCCCACACTGCCGCCTGACCCCCCCCCAACCTCCTCCCATCCTGCCAGCCCCCCTTCCCAGGCCAGCCCCATGCCCCCCCCAGGACGAGCCCCGGCCCCCACCTCATCTCTGTCCCCTGCCCCCCGCCCGCCAGCTCGAAAATCTTCCTCTTCTCGGACGCGGGGGCGAAGGACGAGGCCCGGCTGGAGCAGGTCAAGGTGCTGGTGGAATCGACCCGCAGCCAAGTCAACGCCCTGCTGACGGGGTATTGCGCCACCCGCAGCGCCTGGGGTGAGCACGGCGAGTGGGGGCAGGGCTGGGACCCCTGGGGGGTGCCGGCTCCCACCCGGCCCCAGGGCGGGGACTGGCTGGCTCAGGGGGGCGAGGAATGGGGCAGGAGGGCGCTGGCTCTAATCCGGTCCCAGGGTGGGGGACCGGCTGGCTCTGGGGGGCTGGGAATGGGGGATGGGGCTTTTCACCCTTCTTGTCCGTCCGTCCGTCCCCCCAGCCGTGAACATCTTTGAGGAGCTGGCAGCCTTCTCGGGGGGCTACTATGTGCTGACGTCGAAGGCTGAGCTCTCGGGGGTGCTGGGGGTCATGGAGCTGGCCCTCAACGCAGCCCCCATCACGGTGACCCGGGCCCGGCTCCTCGGCTCCCGCTTCCCCTTCCCCGTGGACGACACCCTGAGTGAGCTCTCCATGTCCGTGCGCAGCCTGGCCGGCAGCAGCTTCAGCGTCTCCCTCCTGCAGCCCTCAGGTAGGGGGCGCTCTTCCCCCCACCCCCCGCGCACTGGGCTGCCCTTCTGCAGGGTTGTTATAGGTGGCTGTTTTCCCGGCTCCCCCGCACCCCACCCCAGAGGTGGCTGCATTTCCACACTGGGCGATGGATCGCTGTATAACCAGCCCCTGCGCCCAGCCCAGAACCAGCCGCACCTCAGGCCCTGGATAAGCAGCCCCCCTCCCCCCCCCCAAGAGAGGGCCGCGGCTCAGCGCCGGGTGAGGGAGCCAGGTCTCAGCGCCCCCGGTGCCGTGTCGCCCCCACGCAGGCGGGTCGCCGGCCGGTGTGGAGCCGGTGATCAACACGGCCCTGCACAAGGTGCTGAAGCTGCGGCTGGTGGAGGCCGTGGGGACCTGGACAGTGGCACTGACCCCCAGCAGCAGCTACGAGGTGGAGATCGGGGGCAAGAGCCTGTTGGACGTGACCCTGCAGATCCTGGAGCGACGCCAGGACCTGGTGCTGCCCATCCAGGGCCGGCCCGTGCGAGGTAACGCCCGTGCGAGGTAACGCCCGTGCGAAGTAACACCCGTGCGAAGTAACGCCCATGCCAGGTAATGTCTGGGCGAGGTAACGCCCATGCCAGGTAATGCCCATGCCAGGTAACGCCCGAGCGAGGTAATGCCCAGGGGCAGTAACATCTGTGCGTGGTAACGCCCGTGCAAAGTAACACCCGTGCCAGGTAATGTCTGGGCGAGGTAACGCCCATGCTAGGTAACGCCCGAGCGAGGTAATGCCCAGGGGAGGTAACGCCCGTGCAAAGTAATGCCCAGGGGAGGTAACATCTGTGCAAGGTAATGCCCGTGCAAGGTAACGCCCATGCCAGGTAATGCCCGGGGAGTACCGGGGGGCTCTGTGCTGACTCCCATCTCTCTGTGCCCCCCGCAGGGGCGAATTACACCGTCTCAGCCCGGCTGCTGGGGGAGGCACGTGGCGCCCGGCTGCTCCGGCTCCTGGCCCTGGACGGTGCCGGGGGCCCGGTGGGCACCGCGCCCCTGAACCAGAGCACAGATGCCAGCGGGAACCTCCTGGCCCTGGCGCCCATCAGCTTCCAGCTGCCGGTAAGGACCCGCCGTGGGGCGCCCCGATGTCCCCCCCCGCCAAGCCGGGCCCCCCCTTTCAGCTCTGTTCTCTGCCCCCCCACAGGCCACGGTGCTGGGCGTGGAGGGGCTGACGGGCGCCGGGCTCCCCTTCACCCGCCTCCGCCCCGACCCCATGGCCACCGAGTCAGTGCAGGTCCGGGCCCTGGACGGGCAGAATGGTGAGTGTCTGGAGGGGGGGCTAATCCCGCCCCCCCCAGTCCGCCATCGCCTCTCCCCCACCCCATGCCCCTCCCCCTCCTGCCATCCTGCCCCCCTGCCGCTCACCCCACTGCCAACTGCCCCCCTGCACTCCCACAGCCCCTCCCGTGCTCTAACCCACTAGAGCCCCC